CTGGGCTCGAGCTCGCGGAGTGCATCGGCATCGGGGACTTCGTCACTGGCGGCATTGACTTCGTACGCAAGTTCACCGGGTTTGAAAGTTATTGGCACCCTTTCACCGGTATTTCCAAACCCTAAAACGTAACCGGAGTATACGATGTTAGTTTTAGTCACATATACTCTGTATATCAGAAATCAATTTTCGAGACGTTGTATTTTGGGAGAAAAGTCTTGGGAAGCGAAACTAGCGAGCACAAGACCAGCTCAAAGAAGTTTAGCTTTGAAGCAAATGGTACAATCGGCTAACTAGTCCAACCGTAAATTGACCCACACTGAACCCGGCCCGCCGGTCGATCAGACTTGCGACAGCACATTATAGTGTACATGCATTTTGATATATCCCGCCTGATGAGATCGATCGGGCTCCTGGTCTAAGCCTGTGTAAATTCCAGCTGAGTCGACCGCGGCCAAGCCTCTCTAAAACCCCAGAGAAACGAGAAGGAAGTGAATTCATGAATCAAATGAACTCGGCCTATAGGGCCCTGAGGATCCAAGTTCTGGCATGCATACCTTGATAATTCTTAGGTTCCTGTAGGTAATCTGCGTCACCCATGTCACCTGGTGGGTAGGTATTCCTGATTAACTACCAGGCAAGATGTGGAAGGATGGATGGTGTAAGATGATCCAAAAAAGCGAGTTCGCGAAGCTGGGCCTGACTCCAAAAATTGCGGAGGATGATTTGCGCAAGTCGCAATACAGCCAAAATAGTGGCGAACTTCAGTGGGTTTAAATATTAAGGGATCCAAAGCAAAATATATACGCCAGTGCAGTGGGAGAAGAAACAGCCAGCCTTCCAGTATGAATTCGACGTAGGCCTGGCCAACACCGGGAAACCCCATTATATTACTAACTCTACGGACGGCCTGCGGGGTTGCAGAGCCTCAAGTGATTAGTATGGCTGAGACATCATCTCTCCGTCCGGCATGGCCACGCAAACGAACGAACGCAATGGCGCGTGTCTTGCGTTTGGATCCTTGGACGAAATATCCGAGCCTTCTCTATCCCAGGCTTTTGTGACCAGGTATTGGTCAGTTAGGTCCGCGAACATTGCGTTCCAGCGCAGCCTCGAGCTCGAGGGCTGAATGACCCTCCATGGGCGCCCACCGATACTAGCTTCATTGCTGCAGCACAACGGAGTATGTCCCGCAGTCACCGCTAGGCTGTCTCGACAGTGCTAGCCTTCCCTTTCCCGTCCTTCGAAACCTTTCTGACTTCTCCACGAGGGGCATTTTCTGTCATTCGGAGTATACCTATAGGCCTAGCCTTGTGGGCTTTGTCGGTTGTGTAGCACATCCTCAGCCCCTGCCCCCCATATACCGCGCGCATACTGCAGGTGCGCATCCACAGGTAAGGCTGGGTATGATTATAGCAAACGATAGGAATCGGCTTACGATACTTAGAATACGAAGGGCCTTGAGAGCTATAATTCCGACCTGCTGCATCAGCTTGCAGTCCGAGCCAAGTTAAGGCTCATTTCGATCTATTGATCCCGATCTTTACACATAAACCGGGAGCTCCCTAGCGGGCCTTTGCATCCACACTACAGCGAATCATAAATCGCATCCTTGGCATTTTCAGAACACTACTGCACCAACGGCATAGCATAGCACAAGCCAACCATAGAATAGAGTATACATCGGATTACGACTAGCTACAGCATCTCTCAAAAATATTCACGGCTAGAACAGTCTACAGTGGCTACGATGCGTCGTCATTACATGTATCTCGGCGATGAACTCGGCGCTGACCTCCTTGAATTCAAGAAGCAGTTCGGACTAAGGCACTCAACAACCGGCTCTCTAGGCCGGAGGTCAAAAAGTCTGACTTCTCAAACATCTCTAAAATTTAAAGGAGACTCTGCAAAAATTTCGGGGCGCGTGCGACGGAGGAGGCAGCCTAATGGTGCGTCTAGTAATAAGTCGACTCACCGTCTTAAATCGCCCAGATACGGGTACAGGACAGGCAAAAGCTCTTTGCATTCCCAGGAATATGTTGGCAAGACGCCCGCCCCTACAACAGGCACCCTTCAGAAGCCCATGTCTTCTAAAACGAGTCCTGGTTCGGAAAAGACAATTAAAAATGAGCCCCGAGCAAAAGTCGAACAAGAAAAGATGGAGGGGGCCAGCATAACAAGCCTGTGGGGTGGGAGTAATGGAGAGAAAGATAGGCCGGGATATTGGCTGTCAGTAGAACATACACTCATTCCTTTATATGCAGCTTTCCACAGGCTCTAACATGTTATATGTAGGAATCAAGCCATAGATGAGATCCCACCAGTGACAGACAAAGGCCAGGCTATTGGTGACGAATTAGAAGTCCTCGGTAACACAGCACTTTTAAGGCGTGAAACTTTTGCATCGAGCTCGAGCGTAGGATCACTGTCTGAAGCTTGTTCAGCTGAGTCAGTCGATACCCTCGGTACTTCCGCCACTGATATCGAGATTCATAATGGCCTCGAAGATGGATACGTATGGCAAAACGAAGAGATGTCTCAAAAGATTCTTAATATATTGAAGCCATATAATAGGAATATTGTTCAACTCGAGATGAAATTATCGAAAGGGGTAGGATCAGGAGTCTCCATCGAGAATTATAATTATTTAAATTACCAGCGCGGGATTAAGGTTCCCATCAAGGAACCCCCCGTCGAGAAAACCCCCATCGAGGAAATCCCCAAGAACGAAATTCCCGTCGAAAAGGCGCCTTCCAGATCCCAGGGTGCCGAGATGGATCTCGAAGTGGCCAATTCTGAGAACTGGCGTAAGATTCGAGAGCAGAATCCCCTGTACAGGCGTGCTACGTTCGCAAACGACGTTTGGACAATAGACACAACGAGAATGCTTCCGCGATCTATCTCTAAAATTCCTACCCGGATCGCTGGGCGACCAGTTATCCTCAATTATACACCCTCCATAATTGGAAGCTTTCCAGACAATCGACCGGATCCCATTGCGGACAAACCAATCGACCCAAGAAAAGACATAGACGACGAAACTCTCCGTTTGCTGTTCCGAACATACCCTGGGGTGAAAGTCGCTTGTGTATACCTGAATAAAACTCTGGTCCTTCTTCACGATGGTAAGTTGGACCGACGAGCCGAGTTCGGGAAAGGACCCCGAAAATTCGGTGGCCTTGATGTCAACCATGCTTCGTTCGATAGGAGATACACAAGCCCCACTGCGGAAAGTCCAAGACAGGGCGGGGACCGATCCAAGACCCGCGGCTCTTTGGTAGAAATGGGGCTAGGGAGTTTTGGTTTGGAGTATACCTTAGGCGACCATCCCGAGCAAACTTCGGACCTGAGAGTAGGGGTCCGTCTAAGATACAAAAGGGAGCCTTACCGTGAAGTTCTTACTATGCCGGTACACTCATTATTCCCAGCTGCTATAAGAGCGCAGGAGGCCATGAATGCAGGAAGTGACCAGGTCAGTGGCCTCGAATCTCCTTGGGCCAACCCAGCGGGGTTCTTGGATGCGAATAAAGGAAATTACAAATTCCAGTATGATGAAGCAGAGGTAAAAGAAAAGTCAACCCCTAAATACTTAAAATATTGCCAATCCTTCTAACTGTTTTGAGATCCATATAGTTTGGAGAACTCGACAGTCATTTTGAATTCAACACCGATTCCTACGAGCCAGGTGATATGAGAGTGCTCCGACATGATATCGTTTTGATAAAAGAGTTGGACGATAAAGGCCCAGTTCCTATGCCCTTCCCCGTCTTTAGATACCCGAACACAAACTGCGTCAAGTTGGAATGGGCTAACATGGATGAGGTTTTCGCCGGTCAAAACGCAGTTCTAATGGGATATAATATCCGATCAAATACACAGGAAACTGAGCAAAAGCTAAAGGGGGTACTGGCCTCATCACCCAAACAGGGCGGCGTCATACCGTACGATGGTTCTCGATCTCAAACAGGTCAAATTGTGGCAACACCCCACGATTATGAAGGCAAGACTGTGAAAATCGACGAGGATGGTTTTATGGAGTTAAAAAAAGAAAAGAACTCTTTTTACAGAAAAAGCGACTCCGGAATTTTCACAAATGATAGCTCCATGGATGTCGCTCCAACCCTGCAGGACAGCGAATCTTCCCAAAACACGAGTCCCACCGATCCGATGTTAACCAGAGAACTAGCTGTCACAGTTGAAGGCCGGTCTTACGAATGTGGTCTCAAATTGGCAGACATCACCGAGGATGAAAAACGCGATATTCTTAGTAGGTTTGAAGATGGTGTCCGTGATTTAAGATATTTCCAAAGGTCGATCCTCTGGAGAGCAGATTCCCACGGGGCTATGGACGGACTTCCATCAATTGGAGGTGCTAGTGGCTGCCCATTAGCTATAAAAACTGGAGAAGGTAGCGAGACGGTCTATAAGGTCTTTGGGTTCCAAAACTCGGAGATTCTCGTGAGGACAGACGATCCTGGGCTGGAGAAGGCGCGCTGGGCGGAAGATGCATTACTCGGAAACTTTAGGACATACCAAAGTATTTGCCTTCCAGACGCACTCGTCGATGACTGGGAGATCGTCTGGGACCGACCAGAAGTCAAGTCTGAGGACGTCGACATGGCCGACCAATCGCCAACGAACGACAGAAGCGACGCTCGAGGGGATTATAGACGCGGCACCAGACATGATCACTGGATGTCCACCACTGATAAGATTTCAAAAATGCGAACTAAAGCCCCGCGTCTACTCGGCCTTCGTCAGAGGAGATACAACCGAGACCTCCTTCGGACAAGTATCAAACCGCGTCGTTGCGACAGAATTCAAAAATCTGGCTACAGAATCAACAACACAAGAATGGCGTTAAGAACCTGTTGGAATTTGCTTTCCTCCAATCCGGTGCCTCGCAACCTCAGCCAAGACACACAGGACTCCGCACGGAAAATGCTCCAGGACGCTCTTACGAAGTTAGACGCTATCCGCAGACCTTAGCCCCCATCCGCGGTTGTATGGTGTAGTGGTTAGCACTCCAGATTCTGATTCTTCTTCGGATCTTGAGATTTCTGGCGACTTGGGTTCAATTCCCAATACGACCTTATCTTTTTAACTTTTTGCCGGTTGCGTAGCTGGTCATTGATCGATAGCCGGCTGAGAGCGAGCTCCTTCCATTTTAGTGGTTTGGAGATCGGTAGACGAAGGCAGGGGTGCACATGTGCACAACGTGCGCAACGTTACAAACGATATCTGGATCTAAACGAAATACCACTTCCTGGAGCCAATACACGCGTATACGGGCCTTAAACGTGGGTACACGTTTTGAGAAGTTTAGTCATCTTTTTGGCGTATCAACTTCAATTCGGAAAGCTATAGCTTTTGTGGGTTATAGTGTTAGCGCCAGATCAAACAAAATACCACAAACACTCCAGATTCTTTTGGTCTGATATCGAACTTCTCGGTCTAACTCTCACGGGACCAGTTCAACTCTATTACGCGGCGCGCAGGAGGACTTTGTTTGAGGATCAGAATGACGTAAGGAAACGGGTCCCTTACATTCAAATTGTTTGATATCTCAAGCTTCAATCAACGTCTGCAGTTGTCGGCATCGAGACCATCAGACTTCTCCAAATCCCGGATATCGACTATCAAATCAATATCAAAATTCTTATTCCCATCAAAAATGTCTAAAAGACCAATCTCCTCCTTCTTCACCAAGCTCCCTCCAACCTCATCCAAAAAACCCCGTCTTACACCCCCCTCGCAAGACGAATCCCCAGACCCCACCCCTCCAACTACCCACCCTTCCTATCCACACCCTATATCCTCACTCCCACCCCCTCTCCTAACCCTCTTAGACACCTATGCCCGCCCTACACCACGGTCAATCACAAAAACCGATCTAGAAATAACCTTCCACCAACCGTTCTTCCCCCAACCCACCGCAAAGTCACTATACTGCTTCCTTAGGTCAAACCTCCCGTTCTACCGGGTGACATACACCATAAAACGCGGAGACTTTGAGACTATTGTCAAAACGCCGCGGTATACGACCGTCTTCGGCGTGGACGATCATTCATATTTTAGTCCCGCGGATAAGGACACAGGAGCTTACGATAACATATCCCTCTTGAATCGAAAAACAGACAAAACCCTTCTGAGTTATGATAACAATACCAAAAACACCAACAATAATGAGAGATACAAATCCTGTGTCTGCCGTCCACGACCGATCCCACAATGTCTTGAGGTGTTAAAGAATATAGTGGAAAGGGAAAGCGGGGAGACGTTTAATTTCGTTTTGGTGAATTATTACGCCGATTGTGGGGATAGCATTACTTACCGTACGTACTTTCTGTATATACCACTATCTACTATAGCTATATGTAATATAGAACACCTAGTCACTAATAATATCACCATGTGTACATCAGACTCCGACGACGAATCCTTCCTCGGTCCAAACCCCACAATCGCCTCCCTCTCACTAGGCACCACACGTGACTTCCTAATGAAGCATAAAGAAGATAAATCACTAACTCTAAAGCTACCATTATCCAACGGCGAGCTTATAGTGATGAAAGGTCCAACGCAGAGGAAGTGGTTGCACAGTAGTATGTACCCTCCATGGAATTTAATCCACCGCACCCCCCACTTCTACATCCACTAACGAGGGGAAAATCCTATAATATAGTCCCGAAAAGATCCCAAACGGTAACGGGAGGATGGACCAACGGCGGAAGGATAAACATCACGTTTAGAAAGGGCATGGAAATTGCTTGTACCGGGAACTACTACAAATATAACGTGGGGAGTGGGCCTGTTTACCGATGGGATGATGGAAAATCAGAGATGGTGGTATACGAGGGAGAGACAAAAGATACTAAAGAAATTAGCGCCATCGCTTCTGGGAGTGGTATAGTAAGGAATGGGGAGGGGAAAGAAATGAGTGAAGGTAGTGGCATCGTTTCGGGTGAACGAAAGTAAACAGGACTTTAATATTCGGCCGGTATAAGTATAGCTCCAGCTATGAACGGTAAAGATTGATTTGACTTAAAATGAGGGTTTGATGACCTCGGGGTTTTTTATTCTTGCTAGGACAGCTGAAAAAAAAAAAAAGGAAGTCTAGATCTAAGTCATCTTCTTCGGATAGCTAAGATCTAATAAGCTAATATGATAGCTAAGTCAAAGACAACCTTGTTTCGTAAACCAACCAGCCACTTTAAAAACGAGTAAGAAAAAACCAAAAGCACGAACAAAGCTAAATTGATCATGAAGAGCAAGGGCCCTCAGAAAACTAAAATTGAAAGTCTGGGAACAGCCTAAAGGATTTACTGGTTCAAGAAGAGGCATGATTGTTCCCCCCATTTCGTGGTTTCTGAGTATGGTGGTTTGAATGTACAAGCACTAGTGAGAAAGAGGAGGATAGAAGGATGAGGAGGAGGAGAAAGAACTAAGAAGGTTTGACAAGGTTTAAGGAGCGGGAGGTTGGGAGAAGAGAGATCGCGATGGAGCATAAGCAGACCAGAGTAGCATGATATACAATGACATATAACGTCGCACAGAAGAAAAGAGGAGAAGAGGAAAAAAAGAGCACCCGCAAAATAGCACACGGTCAAACAAGAAGAAGCAAAGTTCGAAAGAGCCTAGCCCAGTCCCCCAAAAATATTTTGAAAAAATAAGTCTTACGCCGGTTGTTTTTGCAAGAAATGTACAAGTATAAGGAGCGAATTTGAAACAGAGATAATAATATAACATCAAATTACCAGGAGAGGAAAGGATGATAGAAGGAAAATAATTTGTAAGCAGGAAGAACGCCTGGTATCTATGCTTGCAGAAAACCTTGTGATGAAAATGAAACGGAGAATGATGTAGCGGAAGGAAGAGGGGATGGGGGTCCAAGAGGATAAAATGGGCAAAAGGCTAGATTGTACTGAAGACTATTGTAGAAATTGTTGAAAGGAGATCCGTTAAAATTCTTGTTGAGGGTTCGTGGCTTCGTTTTGATCGTGAAAAGGAAATATGACAATAAGGATTCAGATCCGGACGTGTTTGAGTTCGATTATTGGGATCTGGCGCTTTGTGGCGAGGGAAGGCAATAGTTGGTGAGCACCTAAAGGGCCCTAATGGACTCTCTCAGCCCGATTGTAAGTGAATTCCCAGTTATTCACTTTTTTCATCAAGTAGTCCATGAGCTCTGTGCTCGACATGGACACTGTATTTGGCGCTGGTTGCTCGATTTCCGGCTTGTCAGTGACTACCGTGACTTTGTCGGGAGCACTGGAAGTAGGCGTAGGGGCTGAAGTATTAGAATTGGGGGTCTTGTTTTGATCTAACAAAGTAAAGAGGAGGTCCGTGTTTAGGCTGCCGGTAGAAGTTGCGGACACAAGAGCACCAAAAACCGTGGTTCTCTGCTTCTGACCGACCATGTCAACCTGTGTCTTAGAAATGAACTCTGAGATACCGGTGACTCGTCGTCGCATCTCCTGGATGGTAGTTCGGGAGTTAGGGAGACGGGGCTTCGCCGGTCGGTCATGGACACCATTGCTGTCGGTGCCTTGAGCAGAGGCATCCCTAGCCATTGCGTGGGAGGAATTCTCGCCAGGGTCTTCAGATGGACGATTGCCCCGTGTGCCGGCCCGGCGTCTACTTCGGATGCTACGTTTTGTCATCGATGGGGTGTCCGGGACCTCAAGAGCGGGTGTGGAGATGGTAGGAATGTTTTCTTCCGTTTTGGCAGACGCCACGGTATTTCTAGTCGGTCTGGGTGTCTCTTCTGATTGCTCTGACTCTGTGATGATGTCAGCATGAGTTACCAGAGTGACTTTGGTGGGTGTAGCAGTACCGTCTCGGCGATTGTCTCTTTCCCCTCTGCTTCTTCCAGTAGTCCTCTTGGTGGAGCTTGACTGTGTTGTGGTGGGTGCTGGGGCTGACGTGGGTGCAGATGCCCTGCCATTGCGAGATTTTCTACTGCCGGGGACGGGTTTATCGGCCGTTTCATCGTGGACGGGAGTTGGTTCCTTCTTCTCAGGGGAATCTGAGGTTCTTTGTCGTTTCGTAGAATGCCTGTGCGTAGAGGGAGGTGGTTAGGGAAGGTTCGGAAACTCAACCAACGGGACTGAAGGGCGGGATGGGCTTTGGAGGGTTGTCCTACTCGTCAGAAGTCTCACTGGTACCACGCTTTCTACTCCTGGAGCCGGTGCTTTTCTTTTCTTCTTGTTGCTTGCTGTGTTCGAGAACATGGTGGAGCATCTGTTCGTCATAAGCTGCATCACGAGAATTCATCGTGGAGCGTCGTTTCGTATGGTGGTCTTTGTTAGGGTCTACGCGTTCCGGACCGAATCCAATGTAGGTGGAGTATGTTCGTCTACAGGTCGCTGTTAGCAGGCTATTAAATGGTACCGGGTAGTACGGCGTCTAGGGTCAGAAGCAACTCACCCTCCCTTCTTCTCATACAAGGTGTGATTCTCTGGTTTGCATTGCTCGCAAAAGTAGTTGTCGGGAGCCAGGGCTTTATCCCTGATGCCGACACATAGACCATGCTGCCAGACATGACATTGGTCACACTGGATGAAGAGCCCATCGGTCAGGTCGGTGTGGCTGTCATCGGAGCCGCCTTGGTACTCTTTGAAGCCGCAGATACACCGCGTCTCGCCTTCCTCTTCTTCATTTCCAGAGTAATTGTCTTCCATGTCTTCGTCCACTGGCTCGTCCACTTCGTCATACGAGTCCGCTCGGGTGGTGCCGTGCGAGTCACTGCCGTAGCGAGACTTACGGGCCCGACGGGTAGATGACGAGGACGAGTGCGAGGATGCCGATGTGTGCGAATTGCCGTGATTGGCAGCTGAACGCGCCCTAGAGGACCGTCGAGGGGACATTGCAGAGTGGTGATGAGGATATCGCGTCTAGTAGTAGCGTGGGCGGAGGAAGGATGCTTCGGGAGAAGGGCAGAAGTGTGTATAGGTTCGCTCGATCGAGAGTTGGAGACGACGGCACAAGTACTTGAGTAGGAGTGAATGGGACAAGACCGTGGCGTTCCAAGATCGTTTTAAGTATCGTCTGAATGAACCGGAAAACAAGAGCGGAGGAGGAGAATGCTCAT